CCCCGCTCGATGCTGAACAAACACTCTGTCGTGATCAATATATCAAAATCGCCAGGTTTTTAGGATTTTTAACTAGTTGATAAACAATCTTATCAGGTAAGAATTTGAGGATACATTTAGTACCGTTAGTACTTACTTTTAATGTTAAAAATTTGCGACAACATTTTTACAAATATACACCATAGAAAATTCGTTAACGTAGTCATGAAATTGCACGTTTGCCTCTGCCTCGAGTAGATTGTGTTTCGCCAACGAAATGCGAATGTTCACGTTTTGCTCGTATAATTAAGTTCGATGAATGTGTGTGTGTGTGCGTGTGTGTGTGTGTGTGTGTGTGTGTGTGTGTGTGTGTGTACATTTATTTGCGCGTTATGTTAATAAACGCGGTTGTAAGATCGATTTTTCCTGTCTGTTATGAGCTTACATTTTCCTGTGGCAGTTTGTTCACAGTAATAACTTATTTTGGTTCAAAGGGAAAATGCACGTGCGTTTTTGCGTTCTAAACAGTTTTCCGTCGAGCGTGCGCGTCATTTGCCACAGCCATAGCTGTAATATATACCCAGTACGGAAAAACAACCTCCGCTGCCCCACACACACCCCTCTAGCCACGAGCCCCTGTGTATATGATTTTGATAGAATCATATACATTTCTGCGAAAGCACAAACTCAACATTAGTTAATATGGAAAATATTGATCCAAATTACTCACTCCATTTGTTATCAGGCGGCAAATCATTTAAACCTCATTGAAACGCGTTAGAATCTAGGATCAGACGTACCTGAGCGCATGCTTAATAACGGTATCATTTTGTTGGAATTGGCCGTATTTAACAAACGAGAGCATACTGCCCGAAACAGTTTTCCATGAAAAATGCAAAACGTACTGCCTCCCTTACATAATACATGGAGCCACTAGTACTAATCTCAACATTCGGAATATTTGTAGCATTATATTGTAGCAGCGGTCAGCGTAGAGTCGCACGTCAGAAGTAGATTATGGTGTTCCACGATAATTTAAAAAA